CAATTATTTAATGTTGGTCAGCACACTCAATGTATGATATCCCTGTAAAGCTCTGCATTACCAGTCCAAGGTGGGGCCGATTGATTTTAGATATTCTACCTACACCAATACCGGTAGGTCGAAAAATACTCAATTACGTACATACAGATACTGTTTAATACCAAACATAGGTCTCATTCATAGTTTAATCACCATCTTGTCAGATTCCATATTCATTTTATTCGGTATGAACTACCGTCTTCACAGTATAATGCGTCATCAAGTTCAGCATTTTGTGATATTCCTAATATAGTTAATAACATGATGTGTATATGCCAGTTTCTGTGAACGTCACTCCATCTACCTACAGTTGGATCAGAGATTGATTTGGGCAACAGTAAATACTACAAATATCGTACGAAGTTTGATATTACTTTCCCTTTGGACCTGATTTTTATCACACCTCTACGGAGTTGTTGTAATGGTCATGACTCAATTGTTTACGGAACGCCATCGTATGACAGGAGCATTGCTGGGTGCGGTGTTTGACAACAAATACTTTTTGGTTTATTGTCGAGTTAAAATGTATAGTGTGGTTTGGTTGTTGGTTGTTTAACGCCGCTCTCGGCAATATTCCAGCTATATGACGGCGGTCTGTAAATAATCGAGTCTGGACCCGACAACCCAGTGATTGAAATCATGAGCATCGATCCACGCAATTAGGATACGATGACAAGTATCAACCAATTCAGCGAGCCTGACCAGCCGATCCGGTTAGTCGTTTCTTATGACAAACATAGTCGCCTTTTACAGCAAGCATGGGTTGCTTAATACCTATTCTACCCCGAATCTTCACGGTTCGGTTTATCGTGTGAGTGACGGGCATCACCAGTAGAGCAGACCATGCTTCCCCTTTTCGCAAATACCTGGTGTCTTCGCTGATATTCAATGAATCATGCATATACTCTTCGTCGCTATTTTGTCTTTCCCTCAATGGAATCTGTTTCGGCAGATAATGGAGATTGCTTATTCTGCGGGGTTGATGTTTTCAATTATATAAAGTTGAGGGAAGCCACTTCCTATTCTTACTGTGTGGTGCATGGAATATGGCTGATAAGCTGCACGTGTTGTGTAGATATTTTACTTGCTGAGAAGCCTTGCCAGTTGTCCTCATTTCCTTTTATGATAATGGACAAATTTAATTGGTTCAACTTTCGGAAAATGTTCTGATTCTCGAATTCCTGATTCTGTTGGAATTTGATAGAGTTGATAGAATAAATTGATAGAAAGAAATTGCTGATTGCGTTAATGAATTAAACCGTACAGATTACATCTCCCCAATGTAGGCGCACCAGGCTACTTTTATGTGATAAATTTGTTCATGGAGAGGTATCTGTCACTTTTGTAGTAACAATTTTAATAGCACAACCGTCGTTACAGTCCTTAATCACAAACTGTAACACTATAAATGTGCAATTTAGGACTCCAAGTTTTGATCCAAGCAGCAGCTGTAATATCAGGCTAAGCATTGACAGTGAATGCTCGATAACTGGATTTGGATTAATTCGATAATATAGGTCTTCAGCAACCCATGCTTGCCGTAAAAGGCGACTAGGCTTTCGTAAGAGGCGAGTAACGGGATCGGCTGCTCAGATTCGCTGACTTGGTTGATGCATGTCATCGATCCCAATTGCGTCGATCGATGCTCATGTTGTCAATCACTGGATTGTCTGGTCCAGACTCGATTACTTACAGACCGCCGTCATATAGCTGGAATATTGCTGAGTGCGGCGTTAAACAACAAACAAACAAAGAAATAATTCGATAATAGATCACATATAGCTGCAATGTCATTTTTGGCACTTTGGTCAAACACTGGAACTACCTTGAAAGGATATAGCGTCGATTGTCATAGTGACTTTGATTGAATGTGAACATGTCCTTCTACCCTAGTAGGTTATACCTAGACGACCAAGGTGCCTGGACATGGGTTACACGCTACAACTGTCCGTGGTCATGTGGGCTCCATTCTAAGAAAGCCATGCTGTGCTGGACTTTCCCTGTGAAGAATGTGATCAGTAGATATAGGGGTGTATTTTGCTGGTCAGAATGTTCCGAGTAGCGGGGAAAGTATAACCTTCCGCATTCATGGTGAAGTGTAAGAATGAGTTGCGGGTGCTGTCCACACCCAATGATACCCCAGTTACCGTAGAAAGGCAGTTGTAGTGTCAGCTGAGGTCGTCTGGAAGCCTGATCTGCGTGTTCAAATATCGTTACATACGGAATAGCTCTAAGTAAAGGTGTAGAAAATAATGAGTATACAATCTCGATTTGCTTACGGTGTTTGCACAGTAGTCAGTGCAAAGACAAAGAAACCTCCTTAACTCGAACTCCATTTACTCGATATGTCCTTTAAGGTGATATAACTTTATTACCTAAATAGTTCCGGGAGAAGCCTTTTGACACAATTATTTAATGTTGGTCAGCACACTGAATGTGTAGAAAAAGAGGATTATACAATCTCGGTTTGCCTTTGAAGTTTGCACAATAGTCAGTGCAAAGACCCTGAAACCTCGTTATCTCGAACTCCGTCGATTCGATATGTCGTTTAAGACGCTATAACCTTATAACCTAGTAGTTCCGTGTGAAGCCTGTCAACAAAATGTTCTCATATTGGCCATGACCCTGACATTTTGAATATCCAAGTACGGTTCTGCATTTGCTTTCCAGGGGTCTCCTGGAAGCCTGATTTCATCTGTTAAAATATCTGTAGATACTGTGTAGCAATACACAAGCATATAGGCTAAGGCATATATCAGTGCCAGCAGAATACAAATGCGCAACTTGGCTACAAAGTTAAACGTAACCCATTTTACAGGTACTGGATTTAAGCGGAAAATAAATATATATTTAAATAATTTAAATACACCTGGAATGAAATATCCAGCAGCAAAATTGGAGTGAAAACTGCATAATACCACGTGTACCTACGGGTACGTTATTAAGACTACATTTGGATTATGAAAAGGGGTTTAACGCATTTAAGATTATTTCACTCATAGCAACGTGTATGCACGTGTGTCTGTGTGACTGCTTGTATATATGTTTATTCATAATACTGAGAGGCCATAGACCTATAGTACATGTTATATAGTAATGGGTGTAAAAACATTTATAAGGTAAGACATTTGGAGACTCTTAGCTTCATAGCATGCAATATGTACATTGACAGCTTTTCCGTTATTACTACATTCTGACTTGACATTGATGTAACAAATTTCTGTTGACTTGGATAACGGATATACTATTTATCAATGGACTGTTTTCTGAGTTCAGTATATACAACGGACAAATTAGTAAGAAATGGTATTCATTTTCTACAGTGTTTAAATTACAAAACTGGCAAATTCTGTGTTCTGTCAGTTTTGTGACTGCTTGTACTAGTCCGGACAAGTATAATACCGGTTTTATAGTGCTGGCCCACTGAGATACCATGCCGCAGTTTAACAGGGATACCCAACTCAGACACAGACACAGCATACAGACGGAGCATTGAAAATAACAAGGTAAGCGTTGGAATGTGTATCTAAACAATTATTATTTGATCATGATGTGTATATATATGTATGATATGTCCACCACTTACCCAAATGTAACGTTAAGGTTACTCTGAAAGTATACAATATTGATAGAAACAAGCAACTGCATTTAAATTGAAAAGGAGTTCCAGTAAGATTTGAGTTTCCTGACCCATATCTACTAGACCACGGAAGCGGTTTGACTCATTTCGGGATTTTTGCAGTTAATAAGCTCTTACATACTTTAAGACCCGCTGATATTCTGTAATATGTCTGGAAAGAAGCCATAGATTATTATAAACATTGGTATGAATGACTTACGAGAATACAGCCGAGAGCGCTCGCCTTTCATAGGTATCAATTAATCATCACTTCGGGCATCACTTCGGGCTTTCCTCCCACATTAAGCTGACACGCCGTGATATAACTGGAATACTGTTAAAAGCGGCGTTAAACCCAACTCACTCACTCAAAGAAGGATAAACTGATTGCAATATAAGTCATTTGCCAGAAAGCCATTAGCAAGATGTGTTCGAAATCTGAATTTTTCAAAATCTCTGACGAGAAGGTAATATTCTCATCAACTGCCTGAACAACATTACCTAATCATATCCTAGTGACATGGTGTATTCTGTGATATGTGTGGAAAGAACCCATAGATTATTATAAACATTTGTATGAATGACTTACGAGAATACAGCCGAGAGCGCTCGCCTTTCATAGGTATCAATTAATTATGTTTAATGTATTCCATCAAATCGCACTAAATACAGGTGGTATGCACCTGGCTATATCAACCAATCACCTATTAGACCAAGACACCCGAGTATTTATATTCAAATAAACTCATTGCCATGTTAATATGTCCTGATAAAGACTTGTTGTTTAACTCCGCACTCAACAATATTCAAGCTACATGGTAAAAAATCGAGTCTAGACAAGAAAATCGAGTGATTGGCATATATCGTTCTATTTATATCCGAAATCCATACATTTAACACCCTTTTATCATCGCAAGATCTGAAAATTATCATTAATGAAGGAAAAGAGTTGTATTATGCACATGAAATAAAAATACAGTTTCACATGTTGAGAATAAAATCCTGTCTTACACGAACCTTTTGTACACAAAGACCTGTGTCTTACAGTTATTTGAAAAAAATATGGAGCGTTTGAGCTCATGTGTACAAGATTTTCTGAGATCTGGTTTGGGTTGAAAGTGACAGTTAGCTGAGCAAAACAAGTAACATTCGAACTCGTACTGACCCCGGAGTCACACCACAGGGCAACATGATCTTGTTTGATGCAGCTTCTTGGGCAACGCGACCCGTGAAGATCCAGGGTAGAAAAGGTCATCAACCCATGCTTTCCGTAAAAGGCGACTAGGCTTGTTGCAAGAGGCGTCTAACTGGATCAATGCTGATGATATCAATCACTGGATTGTCAGGTACAGGCCGTCATATAGCTGGAATATTGCTGAGTGCGGCGTTAAACAACAAACAAACAAACAAACAAATATCTTGGGCAACGCCTGGTTGACTTCTATTTTGAAAAGCCAAGTAGTTTGAATTGTTGAGTTGGTCAGTTGGGAGTTGGTCAATAAAAAGTGTGGCCCACGGTATCAAAGGCTGCAGACAGGTCTAATGAAATCGAAGATGCCGTTTTACCACCAACAACACGCGAGATCATTAATGACTGATCAGTGACGTTCCCCTGCTAAGAAGGATAAACTGATTGCAATATAAGTCATTTGCCAGAAAGCCATTAGCAAGATGTGTTCGAAATCTAAATTTTTCAAAATCTCTGACGAGAAGGTAATATTCTCATCAACTGCCTGAACAACATTACCTAATCAAAACTAGTGACATGGTGTTTTGTATCGAGATTATATTTCTTTCAGCTACAGCTAGAACATTTTGCAACACAGCAATTTTTGTGTCCGTCAATCTCTTTTTTTATATCCAACCACATGTAATATTAAATGGTCGGTCTCTTGAGTATAGATCTGGGCGTTGTTAGTATTACCCTCTGGCCCTGCCCGACTTTGGCAATCCCAAGTTCCGCAATGCTACTACCTTCCTGCTATGGTTGTCGTAAGTCTGTGTGTAAGTATGCATGGGAGTTACGATCGTCTTAGCGTTAAAATCGCTTTGTGGAACGTGGCCTGGCCATTGGGAGGTAGATATTGGTTAAGGGGCAACTATGGCAATGGACAGGTTCTACGTTTTCTAGCTTTTCTGCCAAAGATTTGTTGTATGTTCTCATATAAACAACACCCTCAAGACCACGGAGGCGTTTTGCCTTATTTCGGGAGTTTAGCAGTCATCTGCATGAGCCAACATACTTAAAATACCGCGCATATTCTTATATATGTCTGGAATGAACACATAGATTATTATAAACATTTTGGTATATTTTTTCTTACGAGAATACAACCAAAGGTAATCGCATATTATAGGTAAGAATGAATCACGTGTGAACTCATAAGTGAACTCTGACATTGTGAGAGGCCCGCTTGATATAGTCAGACAGTTCTTGTTAACTTTTAAGAAATTTCTATCTGTCAGATACCATTGCGTTATTGTGGATTTAGTTCAACAATGCTAGAAACAGTATTTCAGTTACACCAGGATGTGTCAGCTAAAGAAATTTAAAAAGGAGGAAATCCCAAAGTTATGCATATCTAAGACCTTTTACCACTTAGGTGAAATCCACAAACGCGTGTATGGTGCTGACAAACCAACCCCGTGGGGAGTCCTGGTTAGAACTGGCCCCAGCAACACATGATATTCGTCAGAGCGGCAGCTTAATGGGTCGGTTAGTGACAGGTGTCCTCGTACCCCAACTGCGTGGATCGTTGCTCGCAATATGTTGATGGGGGCCTATTCTAATCACTGGATTGTCTGGTTCTGACTCGATTATTTACAGACCGCCGCCATATGGCTGGAATATTGCTGAGTGCGGCGTTAAACAACAAACAAATATGTAATCAGCAGTACTTCCGCTCTATCACAGTGCCCTGTAAAGTATTGAGTCTTGATCAGAGAATGATAGCTAGAACAATGTACCACAGTCAGGTCACACATTGTAACCACAAAGTCCTACTTTTGGTCAGCTCTTATGGCACAAAAAAGGCCCTTTGGAACAATTCTTCTATGGACTCCCCAACAGGTCACAATACAGTGTTCGTCCGTTTCATTGTTTCAGTTTCAGTTTCATGTTGTTTAACGCCGCACTCAGCAATATTCCAGCCATATGACGGCGGTCTATAAATGATCGAGTCTGGACCAGACAATCCAGTGATTGACATGATGAACATCGATCCGCGCAATTGGGCCGTTTCATTGTACTTTACATTAGAAACCGACACATGGACATCATGCCAGAAGAAGGTGTCATATTCAGGTCACTTCTTGCATGTCGAGGTTACCAGGGTTACAGCTGCTACCTGACCTCGCATTCTGCTTGGAATGTATCCCCATGCAGTCAGATCTAGCCTTGCCATCTCCTGTATCCACACATCATATGTCCTTGTAGATGAGATCATATTTTGGGATATCACTGGGATCAAGTGGACTCCTCACCATCACCTTGCCTTTCATAGCCCCTCGGAACAATGTCTCTACAACATCTATGAAATGCTGCTTCTTCTTAAAAGTGCCAATGAACTTGGTGTTGTCAGGACTCCTGGTTAAATAAAAAATAAATTAATAAGATGTTAAAGGATCTAAGAAAATAAAAATATCTGGTCAAAACTTATATTGCAGATGTCAATGATTACATTGTAGCTCATCAGATTTGGTTTTGTTCAACAACAGTAACTGGAAAAGTTGTTTAAGGCACTGATTAGGGCTTGGCCAGTCCAAATTTACTACCCGGATACCCACCCCCCTATTACCCGACCCTACCCGGGTACCCGCTGGAGGTCTCAAGAGATAGTTAAAACATGTCCAATTGGGAATAGTTTGACCGTACTCCTGTCAAAATAAATTTAGATACACGTATAAACCTATCTTGTCATGCATACACTGAAGTTGACTGATGTTTTATCATAAAGCAAACATATAAAGTCAGAAGGAATGTGTGCAAAGTCAGAAAGAAATCTGAACATTTATCACTTATGTTGTAACCATAGAGTTCTAGATAATTTTTGCCATTAAACAATATAATCATGTGACTAACCACGGGTCCGGGTAGTCCTGTGGGTACCTGGGTCCTACTCAGTACCCACCCGACCTGGGTACCCGAGTTTCCCGTCCCATCCCTAGCACTGATGTTTGTAAATGCAGCAATTGTCACTTTACATGGAGAGAGCACATACCATCATACATCATTCCCCTAGTCATACATTGACAGACAGACTGACAGTTAAGTTTATTCGTAGTTCAGGCCTGAAAAACCCTATGGTACAAATATAGTTACAAATGTCGTCTAGTGGGAGTTACAAAGAGTTTACAATTCTTCATTTATTCTAAATACACATTTGAGATATTTGGCAAGTTAAATAAATGAATTTGAACTAGAGATAGATCTAATGCTGTAGTACATGTTGTCCTTTCTAGCGTATCACAGTCTTTCACTCTGTTTAAATATATAGAGAATCTCAACCAAGTGTCTTTTGATATCAAATATATCTGCACAAGTTGATAAAAGTTTTAAAGCTCTTCCAAAGCAAAGCTAAACAACCATTCACCCATATCATGGGTATACAGTTATCTGTTGCAAAGAAACATGACGTAATCACAAAGAAAGAAAAGAAAAGTAACATAAGTTAGAAGGACAGAGATTTTAAGCATGCCTATTCTCTTCACTTTCTCAACACCCTCTTCAGGCCACCATAAAAAATACATCATTACATAATGTTACATTTGACATTGTCTGACAGGCATTTCTGATCCCTCAAGATCTGGGGTAGAATAGGTCTTCAGCAATCCATGATGCCGTACAAGGCGGCTATGTTTGTTGTAAGAGGCGACTAACGGGATCAGGTGGTCATGCTCGCTGTCTTGGTTGATGCATGTCATTGCATCCCAATTGCGTGGATCTATGCTCATGATGTCAATCACTGGATTGTCTGGTCCAGATTTGATTATTTACAGTCCGCCTTCATATAGCTGAAATATTGTTGAGTGCGGCGTTTAACAACAAACAAACAAATGATAAGCATTTCTTAGAAGTTGACAGATTGCAAAGCAGAGGTGGATAACAACTTCTTTTTTATACTTATAGATTGGTATAGATCCTCATACGGTTGTAAAGCAAGTTTGTAGTTTTGCTTGACAATGGCATAAAGATCTATACTGAAATGTCGCTATTACAGTATAATAAATATATTGTTACCAATAAACCTTTGTCTGCTTTTACATTTGACATGTTTGAGATTATCAATAGCTTCCACTCAAAACTTTTGGTAAGTCTTACCCCCAATCAACTTTCATGTGTTGAGCATTGAAGAAAAAGACTGTTGCAGGGATGAGAGTGATGTCGAAGTAGGTTTGATACACCGGCACTGCATCCACATCAACCAGGTAAATAGCAGCCATGTTCTTCAGTTCAGGGGCTGCCTTGGCCAGCTGTTTGTAATTGGCACACATTAGACAAGTCAGAGATAAGGTTAGGAGAGGTGAGGTGGAATGGGGTTTAACTTACATTCAAGATTATTGCACTTATATAGCGACGTGCATGCACATGTATGTGTATGTGGTTGTACTAGTCTGGACTAATGCTGGTTTTATAGTGCTACCCAACTGAGATACCATGCCCACAGTTTAACATGAATACCCCACTCAGACACGGTGTACTGACTCTGAGCTGACTAGTCCTTGATTTAGCCTCTGAGTGTCGAGGCAGGCAGGGTAATAACAAGTATCATCTTTAGATGTCTTTTGGAATGATGCGGCCAGGGATCAAACCCCCAATCTTTTGCTCTCCAGGCAGATTCTCAACCACTAGACCATGGAGGTGGTCTGTGAGAGTTAAAATCCATCATCGACGGTATTCCAGCCATATCGTCAGAGATAATATGACATTAAAATATGTATATGTATATAAATGAATGAGTTTGGTACATTAGTAATGAAGGTTGGTTGGTTTGTTGTTTAACGCCGCACTCAGCAATATTCCAGCTATATGACGGCGGTCTGTAAATAATCGAGTCTGGACCAGAATATTAAGCATTTAATATACATGAGTTTATACTGGGTTTCGTTGTGTTTTTATGTTAAAACTACCTTTTATTAAAACAATTTGCCCTGAATTAGTAAATCTATATCGTGAAATTACTGTGGTGATTTTTTTCTCTCTTGATACGATGAACCCTGCGTTGTAGTGCCTTGCTGCGCTATTGTAGCAATATTACCACAAGTGATGAACATTGCTTAGTTCTCAGGTCAGAGTTTGACTGACACTGACGGACTTTAAATGCTTTCAGATGGAACACTGCTTACGATATCATCCATCTGAAGACAGCCATGATCATCATCTCTCCCAAACCGCAAAACCAATACTAGATCCTCTATGTCTTTTATGGTATTATCGACCTGTTTCTTTGTACTCAGTTTAGGGAGCAGAAAACTCATCCTGACAACACCGTGAGACCCCAAGTCGCGAAACTGGGCTCCAGTCTTGCTAAAGAGTAAACGCGCTATGTTTGACAGTGGGAACCAGTTAAATACGGCCTTGACCTTAGCTCCGGCCTCATACAGCATAAACATTTTTTTCTTCCATCAGGGAACGTATTTATTAGTAACTTTGAAACCCCAAATTAAATACGGCCTTAAATACTTCTTTTAAGAAATAATCATTTATTTTTTAAATGACATGGTCGATAAAATTTAGTTTGTACCAACTTTGCACGTTGTAAGCAGCACCCCCGCATGGCATGAGCGAAAACTGTGGCATCAAGATAAGTCCGAATGACAAGGGCAAGGGAAGATTTGGTAATTTTGTTGTTAGCGTAGAAATGTACACGTCGTTGTAACTATTTAACGTAACTATATGTTGCGTTAACGTTTGAAAAACAGGTAATAGTGTGAATAGAGCTGTCAGTAATGATCTCTATGAGACATATTCTCAAATTAGATATCAGATATTCTCAAATTAAATTCGGCCCTCGATTATAGGACGTCTAATGTATTCTAAATCGGATACCAGTCCTAACGACCATAACAGCCCACTTGTCTGATGTAAAACGGGCCAGTGCAATATCATATTGAAAACAAATTTTATTTTATTATCTTTAGCCATATACGTATACAGTTAAACTTTGTAAGAATAGTATGAAAATTAGTCAATAGGGTAGTTGCCAAATAGCCTTTATCTTTCTAACACTTGCAGGATTGTCTGAACCCCTAAATGGCTAAAATGAGCTAACCAGGTCAATTTTTCCAAATTCAATGGAATGTCTAAAGATCTGTGAGCAGTCTGTGACCCAAAATTATCTTAATTAGACATCTCATATATGAGAAAATCAGCTTGAGTCATGTCATTGTTCAAATATTAAGAAGATACTTCTTGAAACGTCCAAAAGAGCATTTTTTTACATATTTTTGTTTTAAGTCCAAAACGAGCAAGTGTTCAAATTTACAAAGTCCTGTTCTTCTTACGGTCATATATGATAAGGTTAATAAGAATTTCTAAAGCTGTACTGATGTGTTAAATTATGTTATCCTGTGGGTCAAAAAGGGCCCTATCATACCTTAGTTTTCCTTTGCTATGACTACCAATCTGTCCAAGCATATAGTTTCCCTTTCTACACAAGAAAGTTGCCATCGATGTGTTAAGATGTATATCCTCATAACCAACATGAAACTTCTGAATTAATCATCAAATTCCATTATCTCTTTTCAGTAACAGGAAGCTGACAACGTACAGGTCTACACCTATAAACTGATTTAGTCTGCAAAATGCTGAGGCAGTTGTTACGGACACAGTGTCCTGTAAAAAGACTAATTTTGACATGTATTGAAAGACCTCTGCAGAATGCTGGTCTTCTTTCAAGGCAGATGTGGACAATGGTTTGTCCGAGCACAAAGCAGACACTGATGTTGCCAAAGCCTGCTTGGTGTCAATCAACAAGGCTGCAACATGATGATATACTCATGACAAAGGAAGAGAAAGCTGCTGCTGCTGAGAAAATTCTTGCCAATCTTGACCCAGATAGACAAAAGCAGCTTGATATCATAAAGCTAGAATATGATGTACTCCAGCAGTCTCGTGTGGATGTATGTCATCAAATCCTTTTTACATGTTTTATAACCATTTTCCTCTGATAGCTGAAAAGATTCATTACAATTTACTGAGAACACAGTTTAATTGTATCCATAGCAAGCATAGCTTACTGGATATTTATGATCAAATTTATTAGAACAAATCATTTTATTTTAGAAATCAGAGGTGATTAGAATTATTCTCCCAGCATGGGTAATCTCTAGTTTTCTGGATTTCAAAGATAAGCCAAGACAAGTTCCCTTACAGTTCAACATATCATTAAGTTAATCATCTAGGCACTATCATCTTGATCACAGGGAACATGAAATAAGATGGTGTTTTTCAAAACATGAATATGTTGCCATGTGTCACATTTGTGAATGTTATGCAAAACTTGTTAGTTTTGCAGCTTTAACATATAAGGGTAAAAGATCTAATGTTTATTAGATCATTTTTCTTCTTGATGAACATACAAGTTTGCATTTGGAGAAATAAAAATAATATTGTTTTTGAGATATTCTTTTCTTTCGTATATATTTTCTTGATGTTGTTGCAGGTACCAGAGAATATCCTAGCATCAGATTGGCTAGAGTTACTAAATCTACCATCACAAAGCTCCAGAAGGCGTCTCTATCGTTACCTTGTGAAAACCGAAAGAAAAAAGAAATCTGCAGTGATGAAGAAGGCCAAGAGGGCTCTTTTGAAAGCTGAACAGATGTCGAAACCTGAAGGAGAGAAGGAAAAAAAATCAAACATTATTTTCCCTATGTATAACAACCCTGCAAAACTGTATCGGAACAATAATGTGGCTCATTCAATGATGTTTGGACCTGATGTTATTGTAGATCTTGACTTTGATGACCACATGCGAGATATGGATTCTTCACATCTAGCAAACCAACTTTTCATGGGTCACAGGTTCAATTGTGAGGACCCAGAACCTTTTCATATGATTTTTACCAATGCCTCCTCATCAAATAGAACCATTCAGTATATGTCCAAAAGGTGTGGTTTTTCACTTGACAAAATGATGTTTACTGTGACTGAGAAGGATTATCTAGATCTGTATCCAAAGGAAAAGCTGGTGTACCTGACTCCACATACAGACAAAGTCTTGACCGAGTTTAGCTATGACGACATCTACATTATAGGAGGTCTCATTGACAAAGCCATTTCAAAACCTTTGACTTTTGCCAAAGCAAAAGAACAAAGGATTAGGACAGCCAAATTTCCCCTGGACAACTACCTCATGTAAGTGGTCTTCTTTCTTTTGTTGGTGAAGTTTATAGAATCTGTCGGGATTCTTGGTGAAAATAGGTCTTTAGCAACCTTTTCTTGTTGTACATTGTTGTACAAGGCGACTATATTGATAGGGTGGTCAGATTTAGTGACATGGTTGATTGCATGTCATCGTACTTTCGGGGTGTGACTTTGATAATCATACCGAGATTGTCTCGTCCATACTTGAAAAGTGACAGGCTGCTATCATAAAACAGAAATATTGCAGAATGTGGTTTTAGACCATGTAGACAAGATAGAAAAATGATAAAGCCCCGGGAATTCCAGGTTCTCCACTGGCTCATACATTTTACAGGAGCTGAGCGATTAGGATTGTGCGGTTTCAGTGTACGATAAGGCTGATTGTGATTGCTCAGGCAATTTACTACTGGTTTGTCTGATCCACATTTGTCTGTTTTATATGTTGCCATTATCAGATAATAAAGCGGGAGTATTACCGACAGTGGCATAAAAGAATGTTCAATCACTCACATATCAGGAGGTGAGGTGAACTGGGGTTTATTGTTTAGTGCACTTATGTAGTATATGTGTGTGTGTGTGTATGGCTGCTTGTACCAGTCCGGACTGAGGCCGATTTATAGTGCTAGCCAACTGAGATACCAATTACCATGCCACAGTTTAACATGAGTACCCCACTCAGACACAGTATACTGACTCCAAGCAGACTACGGGGGTAGTCCTTGTTTTAGCCCCTTAGTGCGGAGCATCAGACGGGGTAGCAACAAGTACCATCTATTAACGTCTTGGTATGACATGGCAAGGGATCAAACCCAGACGCTCTACCACTAGACCACAGGGGTGGTCCACACATCAAGACGTTTAAGAATGCTCATTTGTCAGTCTTTGATGCCGAGCACCAGGCAGGGTAATGAACATCAACTTTGAGTATCGAGCCGCTACGGTTCGTAAATCAATAATATTGGGAGAAAATACATAACTTAACATGCTTAAAGTAGCCCTTCTTTTCAACCTTTTGGGATCATAATATTAATTACATAAATGTAGAACTTTATTGATTATGTTGAAAATGCCTAAAAGAAACAGTCAGGTGAGCCAGAGGACCTTATGATTTTCTCACGCTTGACTTTCAATCTCCTTTAAAAAGGTCCACAATGTCCAGACCAAGTCTAATTGCTTCATTATTCTGATTTCAGTTGGGAGAAAGGAGGAAAAAGACTGACAATAGATCAAGTGATCAAGATTCTTGTGTCACTCAAACACAGCAACTGTTGGAAAACTGCACTGGAACATGTACCATCACGAAAAATTGTCAGATTCTGAGAGCTGCCGAGAAACCTAGGACACTGTATAGGTTAAACTGTTAGGCTTGGATACATGTCATTGAATGCACACTGACCTTGAGAGACCTCAGAAATGTGCTAGTCTTTGTAAAGGGACGATAACAAGGAGTTCAGTGTTGAGAGGAATTAGAGTGAGTGAGTATTCCATTTATATCGCTGCGTGTCAGCTTAATGTCGGAGGAAAGCCTGAAGTGATGCAGGTCTCAGACGTTTACCACTTCGGTGAAACCGACGAGCACGGGTATGGTGCTGACAAACCTAGACACATAATCGGGATGAACCGGGATTCGAACCCACAATCATAGGTTTCTGGCGTGCCCAAGTGACGCAACCCTGCACAGCAAATCGCGGCGCCTTAGACGACTGGGCCACCTGTGCCCCCAGAGGAATTAGAGATGACCTTCGGATGGTCATTAAAAAAACAGCTTAATGGAACAAGAACACAGGGCACTTATACAATGTTTACTCAGATATATTGCCTTAGTGTTTTGTGGGATACGTTCAATCAAGATGTAGTTTGCTATTTATCATGTTTGTAGTAATGCTGTTTTGCCAAGAATTCCATTGTGGCATATTCCGCCATATTTAGACCACATGTAACATTAGGTCTTTCAGCCTTTTAAAATATCCAAAAACTATCTTGAAGAGCAAAATACTCTTGCATGTCTCAGCAGGAGTGCTGCTGAATACCAAAAAGTGTGTATGTATGTATGTGTTCATACCTGCTGGAAAAACTGTTAGGAAACTGCCGCTGATTGATTAAAAATGTAGTAGATATTCATGTGAAGGTTCAACGTATGCTGATTAGAGAAACTTATAAAGGCCAGGTAGATAATATGTCTTCAGCAACCCATGCTTGCCGCTAGAGATGACTATGCTTGTCGTAAGAGGCTACTAAAGGGATCGAGGGTCAGGCTCGCTGACTTGGTTGATGCATGTCATCATATCCAAATTGATTAGATTGATGCTCATGATGTCAATCACTGGATTGTCTGGTCCAGACTCGTTTATTTACAGACCACCATCACATACCTGGAATATTGCGGAGTGCAGCATTATACAACAAAAACAGGGGACCCTGTGTTTTTTTCAGCACTAGTATTAATTTCCTTTCAAATACTGCTTATTTGGAGAAAGTGCTGGTTGATTAACTGAACGCAAATGACTTCATTATTCCCTGGTATGAATCCTGCACCCCTTTATCTGTGCCAAGATATGTTTCTACAGAGCTATTTGCATTCATCCCAATATTATCTGACAACGAGTTTAAGTCCTTGGCTGTTTCTCTGATTAGATAATTACAAAGAGTTCCTCAAACACTAATTTGTGAAAAAATAAGAGTGTGTATTAGTCAAAGAGTAATAAACAATGAGAACATATCCTTTCTGTTATTACATAGTCTGCATCTATGAAATAAATTAATGGTTGACGGACTACAGCCATAGAGTCCCCGGATACAGTCAAAGGTAAATTTGATATCGCCACACAAATCTCATGATGGTACAACACATGGTATTGCTCTTTACAATGACATCTCGGCTTGTTTTCAAATATCAGTGCAGTGAATTAGCATGTGATGGGTACAGCATCAAAGTGCCTTATGTATCTTGTTCAGCTTATCTTTATTTATGTGTTCAACATGTTTCTACATGTAGGATACAACCAGGTCAAAACATATAGAATCTGTTGCAGATTGCATAAGCACAATCGTCAACATGGTTTATGGAAATTTCCTTTAGGTGAATATGAACCATATCTGTGTCCCAAGATCATGTCATAACCATGTGTTTGTACATTGACAAAGAAAATCAGCTTTGGTTGAAAAGCTTGTTTATATTCAATGCTTCCTGAAAACCTTTAAATATCAGCTTGCAACACATTTTAGCCTTTTGTATTCTGTCAGTGTTATAAGCATAGGTTCAACAGTATTATTTACAAGTATGATTGGAGATGAAAGCATGAATTAGTTACATGTTTCAGTGGTCAGAATATATTTATGCACAGCCTTAAACAGAAATCTATTGACACTGTCATCTGAGTTTTGGTTGCCATATAGAATAACATTTGAGGTCAAATATTATGCGGAGTCTGAACCACAATTACAGATATGATGTTCTTAAAGATTTTCCTTGAATCAGTCAGGTTACAATTACTGCATGCATACCAAAGTCTTGAATGTAAAATATTTGCTTCCCATTTCCCGTCAGGTAAAAACAATGCACAGTGTTTTCTTTGTAACATACATTCTGTTCAAATACTTTGAATGAACTTGTCCTCTAACTTCATAAAAGAAAACAAGGGACATGAATTTATACATAATGGTTTAATTCAAAACAATAAACTGAGAAACAAACATTTCGATTGTCAATGGTAGACATCCTCAAATATCCAATGTATTATATTTCTATTGTATTATTTACGATAAATTCACTGGACCAATTTCCTCTGATCTCCTTTGAGAGGAGTCCAGTGTGAGTCCAGGGTAATTATCATATTAGAATGGAGATATCAAAATCATAATACACTGGTTAATGTACAAGTAAGTCTTTATATGAATACAACGTGTGATAATCATGCACCTTCAATGAACCAAAAACAAAAACTTTAAACTCTGAACAATGCATCACAACATATGACTTTAGAAATAATTGGCTTTTAATGGCAAATAAATAATGATCATGGAGTGTGTTTTTTTTATCATATCAGTGTGGTTACTGTTTAGCTAAGTGATTATCCTTTGATGACACATGCAACAGTGCACATGTATCTGATTTCTGAAGATACATGACATAGCCAACATGTGCCATGCTGTCATTATGTGTGTAACTGTTACATCAGTATACTGCATGTCAGGTTATTTTCAGTTTTTTAATGTATTAGGAGCATCAGTTGTCATGTGATGGCACAGAGGTCCTGAAGCAAACGTACAGCGTTCATTGTTGTCATTTCTTTTCTCTGGGACACTGACATCTCTGATCAGGAGGGACACCTTCCAAGGCTTTCTCAATGTGATTCCCACAGCCTGTTGATTAGAAAAATATAGTGCTACTTTTAAAAGGCTTTAATTGGCTCCGATTACCAAATATAATTACTGTTTTCTTTAATACTTTCATTATATAAAAGTGTGTTTTAACTAATGCTAGAAAGAAAACTGCAAACATCGAAGACAAACTGATTTAGAGACAGCCTAGATCAGATCGGTCTATATGAACGATACATCTTGCCAACGCGGCCATCCTAACCTACACCTCTATTCTTTCAACGCGTAGAAATTTGTCACGTGGCTTTGCAGTCCTTGAAAGGGGGAGAGAAAAAATCAGAATCTGAAAATTGTCCTTACCGGCCCAGGTAGGTTTTCCGCATTTCTCACAATCCTTTCTAAAACACATGTTTATCTAAATATTGGTAACGTCTTTTGAGAGGAAGTAGATGGCGCTGATTTCTTTCAAACTCCTCACATTATACTTCAGTACGACCGAGAGCCTAAAGTGTGTCAACTGTCGCTGTATGGAGTTCAATTACTTGTTTACGATGGCAACAAGATGGCGCTGACTTTTTAGTCTAACAGTAAGAATATTTTGGAAATATTTTCGCCCTTCTCTATTTATTTCTTTGACCACAGACCTCACATTCCGTTGATTTACTGTGATAAATAACGGGATAAAACAGCTGTTTACATGGGTTAATATTTTAGCGTTGCTGTGTCGCCCACCAATTAAATCCTTCGGCTTCCCTGGCTTGGTAGGCCAAGTAGGCCAAGATACATGACACATTTGTTCTAAAATTATAAAATATGATAAATCGCAAAGAACAATGAAGAAAGAAGTGACGTCTATATATCAACATTACGTACAACCTCTTTATGGATGTTGATAAAATGTACAACCTTTAAGAATATATACCAATATTTTAATAATGATGATTCCCTGAATAGAATCAGTAATAGAAAGTAATATGTTTAGTCCACTAGTCCTTAAAATGCCAACATATTACGAAACCCCTAAAAATTATAAATTTCTACTAATCCTTATGATACCCTAACTATTGGGCAGATTGGCAAGGATTACAGGCGTGCAGGCTAAAACGCAATCTCATTAAAATCAGATCTTAGTTCTCACTACCGGTAAACAAAGATCTGAATACATCCCATTACGGGTCACGTCAGACCGACCTTGGGCAAACTTTGACCGACCAATTATGACTGACAAGAAGTCAACATTAGCCAATCAGAAGGCAGCTTTCTTGTGCTTTACGGCACTAATTTCAAATTGGCAACTACGCTTCGAAACATATTTTGACAAGTTCTCGATTACAAATTTGAAACCTGAACAAAAGAACATTTGGGAATGGCTAATATATGGTCAAGATTGTATGGATTCAGTTGTTAAGTCTGTAACTATCATTCGGAATACCCCGTGTTAAAGTTTTCGCGGCTGCATGATCACATTCCGACTGTCACTTTCATGATCTGGTAAGCGACGGTCTGATTGGTCGGATGAAAGGTCGTTCTGACGTGACCCCTAATGGGATGTCCTCAGATCTTTGTTTAGTGGTAGCGAGAACTAAGATCTGATTTTAATGAGATTGGCTAAAACGGCACCTCAGCAAAATGTCACCAATTTCTCAGGCGAAAACAGCACCTCTATTTTTAAAAATGATAAGAATGATTTTTGTAGTAGTATATATGCATTATTTACATACTTTATTATGTTATGACAATGATATCTCATATAAGAAATAAACAACTCGTGGTTGTTGTTTATCGTACAATAAAACGCTGCAGGGGATTCTATGCGCCCCTCATGGTTTACTCTCCCTGCAGTGTATTATTGTACGATAAACAAGGACCATGAGTAATTTATTCCTTAAATAAGTTAAAAAAAATGGTAAAACATCCTAAAATGTACTGTTTGTGCATTTGTGGATGATCATTTGAAAAGATATATATATATATATATACAAAATACAAGATACAAAAATCTAGCATTAATGTCAGTGAAATATCATAAGGTGGCATGGATGGCCCAGTCATGATTAAGTTTTGGCCAACATGACACTTGACACTACTAGAATATTGTTGACTGCAGCAACACACACTCTGTCACTCATCCTACTGGTCCCAAGCACGCATAGCCACTGTTCCAAACGAGAATCCTAGCAATGCATCTATTGATGGCCAGTGCTTCAATATAAATATTGAAATAATTCATTTTCAAAGTATGATATGACCTTTTCAGATCTTTTCCTTTCAGATGAAGCTGTGTGCCCGTTAATGAAGACCACAGATGGATGCAACATAACAAACTAAGGTCTACCCATCTGAACTATTTCTTCTCATTAAAAGATTAAAATAACCACAAACATGCCACCCTTCCAGCGTGGTGCTCCAGATCTTCTGGATGCTGATGTCAGCTTTTCTCTGGAGCGTCTGTTTGACCATCATAATATGGATCACATCCCTGAGGGTAAAAGGCTTGATGGATTCCAACAGAGAGATCTTGGTCATATTAAAGGCTACAAAGCTGCAGTGAGAATATTTGGAGGCCCGCTCAGCAGGAAACGTATTATTGTCGCTCCACCTATGGAGACACCAATGAAACACAGACTTGGCGTATATCACAACAGGAAATCTCCACCTCCGTCAATAACCTTGAACTCTGGCTTAGAGCCACAGACTCCCCCTGAAAAAAAGCCATCAGTGGAGGAAGTGGAAGCGAAGAAGGAAAGGGAGAAATGTGAAGAGTATCAGCAATGGATAAGTGATCGTAAAAAACTTCGACAAGATTTAAACAGCATTGGTCTGAATGATAAATGGCTTCAAGGAAAATCAAAGAAAACAGTGTTGGAGACACGTGTTATGAATAGGATGAAAGAAGAGAGGAATGTTAAGCCAGAGGAGCCAGTAATTAAGGAACCCCGTCCTACAGTGACTCAGGCTCCTCCTGTCCCAGTGATGAAGATCCCTTCCCCTCATGGACTGCAGGTCTTGGATGAGCATCTCAATAAAAAGAGACTCAGGCTCTTGGATCTTTTCCGGCTGGTTGACAAGGACAAAAATTGGTCTGTGTCTAAGGATGAATTTGCCAAATGCATAGAAGAGGTAAGAGGGCTTTGTTCAAATGTATTTTATTTGTCATAAATGATGCTGTGCTTGCCTGTTTAGGTTAAGAATTTCATCATGACATGATAACAACCTTAACAGGAATTGTTGTATTGACCTTCTCATCCAATAGATAAGCTCAGTGACTTGATTGACAGTGTGGGACTTTGCTCATGATATCACCCACTTGTTTGTCTGCTCCACAGAGATATAGCTGAATGATGCTAATTGTGGCAACAATCAAAATATTTAACATCTTTCGTCCCTAATTGAATTGGACGAATATTAATTCTACACTCAGAGAGTAGGAGTTTTAAACTTTTATTGACAAGTCTTGAAATATTTGCTATCAAAAGACAAGAGGGTGAGATTCTATTTTTCATCCAACATCATTGTTCCAACTGTTTCAGTTTGTAGACAGTAAGAAGCAGTGTTGTAAAAGTACGAGCTAACCAGCTTCAGTGTCAGAGAGATTAGAGATTTCCTGTGATTGTGATGTCATGGTAACCAATGGCGTTAAAAGAACATATTTGTTAAACTTTCTGGCGCTCTGCATTAAGGGGCTAAAACAAGGACTTGTCGGCTCAGAATCAATATACTGTGTCTGAGTGGGGTATTCATGTGGAACTGCAACATGGTATCTTGGTGAGCTAGCACTTTATAATCGGCATCAGTCCAGCCAAGCATACACACGCACACATACACACACAGATGGCATCACTATGGTCTGCAAAGCATTGTGATGCAATTTCATTGCAGCAATATCTCCTTGGAGAAATAGCTTCTTCTCACCCAAGTAAGATCTTCTGTGGATGCCAGGTTTGGATGATAAAGCTTTTATTTGCTATGTTTATGTGCTACATTTCTGCTGATATCAAGCCAACTTTCTCTACCATTGTGTCTTCAGGCTGAGCTTGACATCACGGAGAAAGAGTTGGAAGACCTGGTTATCTCCCTTGACTCTGATCTGACTGATGAAGTAGACTATCGTGAGCTGGCCAGGGGGATGCTGGTATGGAAGAGAGAGAGGCGAGAGAAGAAGAGAGAGCTGTTATCTCAGAACTCAGGAAGCTCTTCAAACAGAAGTCGCTCAGGATCTCCAGGTTCCTAATACTGTCTAATACTGTTATTACACTGACTAATGTGAAAACAGTTACCTTCTAAAAAACATGTATCAGTGATGTATTAAGTCTGATAAATTGTCAGTTTGAGAATGAATCTGAACAGAATTTGTACCAGACGCAGTGCCTTCAGCATGTTCAGTTGGTTCCATAAATGCAGTATCCAGTATTTCACTGAATTCTCACACATTAGCTGTGTTATTTTGTGTTAAGAAATAGCATGAGTCTAAAATGTTCAAAGTATAAACAGATTTTTAACCCCTGATATTGTCAACAATAATCTCTAATTGCATATTATCTGTCGAAGCATTTGATAACATTCACTCACTCTTTGTACATAAAATGATTTGTAAATATCTCAAGGGTTCCTGCAGTCCTTTCACAAATAAGAATAAATGCAAATAGCCTTGAAGACATGAAACTTTTTATGGACAATTTCTTGATTGTTTGTAATGATGTTTCATGGCTACTTCTCGCCCTTTCATCAAAGGAATGAAGTGGAAAGAAGAAGCCCTGAAACTAATATCATCATACCTCCATGTCAGAATGATGAGATCTGATTGATCCACGTGATCTTGGTAAAATACTGTGTAACCCGCCTTGGAGGGTAATAAATTTTTCAGCAGGGGAATGAATCTCCTATACCCCACCACGAGCAATACAGGCTGCACGTGGATTTCTCAGAGGCAGAATAGATCCCTTATACCTTATACCCTTATACCCCCTTCCACGCTTTTTCCGTATCAATGGAAGTCACGTCGACTCATGGGACACAGCACAAGTTAACCTCAGCTCATTCGAACAGCTGTTTTCTATCAGTTTTGAATTTGTGTTAATTATTATGTCAAATTTAAACATGTCGGTAAGATAAATTCGATGTAGCAGGATCACGAGGGGTACATGGGGTTTTATGTGTCCCTTCTAAGGTTTAAGACCACTCACCTCCGGCTCATGGTATAAAACCTAACGTGATACGTATAAAGCCCCATGTACCCCTCGTGATCCTGCTACAACTTATAAAGATGTTGTTATCCTTAAAATGTTTCATGTGTTCATGTCATTCCAACTTTTAAGTGCCAAAGAAAAGTAGGTTTACAATATTTTCTGCAGCAACATCAAGAGGTGGAAGATCACCGAGTTCATCATCCAAGAATTCACATCGTAATCAAGGTGATGAAACTATTGCTAAGCATCCAGTAGACAGAGCTTTCGACAGAACTGTGACAGCCGAAGGCCGACCAACCTCAAACAAAAGTAGCAACAGCAGTGAGCGATCAAGGGGCGGTAACTCTACTCCCCAGTACCTCGAGCCCCCTTCTGGTGACACAAGACTGGAACAGATGATCTTATCATCAGATGAGGCTATGGTTGACCTTCGGAAACATGATCACGTGGTACTTGCAAGGGCCCTTTCAAAAAGACAGGTGGGTTTTTTCAAATGTACCTTTCATTCTAAAATTTAATAAAATTTAATTAAAGTAAGGGACCACAATTTTGCAGGGGATATGAAAAAAGAACATCAACGTTTATAATCAATTCATGAGTGAATAAAAGTTTAAAACTTTGAAGCTTGCTCAGGTGATACTTTCTATATATTACCCATAAGGGTAGAATCTTGTGTAGTAACATTCCGATATTAACACCTGTGCATGTCACAGTGCTTCGAAGTTGTGTACATACAATATGACATCATCCTTTGTTCATGACATCACAGATTGATTACATTATCTCAGTAGGCTGCCTACAGTGAAGTTTTGAGGGGTTGACATTTCTTCAGTTTCTTCAACTGTCAATGAATAATATACAGAATAACCTTCTCAAAACTAAGAATGACAGATTATTTGTCCATATGTACAGATATGTCATAACTCCTGCTTGTTGGTTATTCTCCATCTTCCCAAAGCAAGGGTATTAGCTGACTATAAAATTAAAAGTCCAGTTTCCACCCTTGCCGACCTAGGCTGGAATTTCCACCCTTGATCGTAGCGCCACCAGTGGCTATACCAAGTTATGTCTCTTCTATGTTCCTCCTATTGACCAATCAGATTCCATCTCTCATATCACTTGCATTTGCTTCAAACAAAATGGCGGTGCCCAGTCAAGACGATCTGCTCAATAGTCAAGATCTGTTTTGTAATAAAACGGGTCTTAACCAGGGAAGTGCATCAAATCATGTGAGCACCTTGATTAAAAACATGAATGAATTTGAAGAATATCTCTCTCCGCCCAGTTGGCGGTACACATGCTTTGCAAATCCTACATTCGACCGAAATCTGCACGTTGAAACCATGTTGAACCGGATGTCTAGTTCGTTAAGCGATTTTGATTGGACTATGCATAGACTAGTTAGTCCAGCCAAAATGTAACTCCACAATTGCAGCCTAGTTCAAGGGTGGAAACTGAACTTCCTCTAAACATGGTAATACTCGGAATATTAATACGTTTTAAGTAATATTCACCAAAGGAATTACATACATTTGGAGGTTGAAGAAAATGATAACTTGGTAACTTCATAAATGACATGGTATGTGTTCCAGTATTATAAACTGAAGTACTATGAAATTTGTTGCCTTTTTAATCATACATCACACCACAGATTTACATGATAATGCAAATATTGCTCACTTTAAATTTATCTTGTTCAAGATCTCTAATGGTTGGTCATTATGCACTGCAGGATGAATCACACCAACAATTTTAGTGGGATGGAATAATAAGATGTTTTGACACATTTTGGTGAGAAGATATGTGGAGCTTACCCCAACTGGTGCTTCCCTGAATAGTTGTCTCCCTTGTTTCAGTCTTCTGCAAGCAAGAGAGATTCGTCCATGTCACCAAGCCCCCCTGCCTCTGTCATCAAGATCGGCAATAAGGCAATAGACAACCACTCGCTCGTCTCCACCATGGGAGGGGAGATCGGTGAGATGGTGAATCGCTTCCGTCAGCTGCGACTCAAGGAGTACTATGATGTTGTTCGTATGTGTGAGGAGAAGGGTGTTCCCCTGACACGCCATGTGTTAGACAGAGGTAGGGGAAAAATACATGTGTCAATTGGGTAATTCAAGTAGGGGCCCCAGTGCTTTTCCCCCATAAGATTGAAAAAATAACAATCTCATTAAAATCAGATCTTAGTTCTAGCTACCGTTAAACAAAGATCTGAGGACATCTCATTAGGGGTCACGTCAGAACGACCTTTCATCCGACCAATCAGACCGTCACTTACCAGAGTGACAGTCGGAATGTGATTTCTGATCATGCAGCCTCGAAAACTTTAAAACGGGCTATTCCAAACGATAGTTACTGGCTTAACGACTGAATCTATACAATCTAGACCATATATTAGCCATCCGAGAATGTTCTTTTGTTCAGGTTTCAAATTTTTAAGTGAGAATTTGTCAAAATATGTTTTGAAGCGTAGTCTCCAAATTGAAATTAATGCCGTAAAGCACGAGAAAACTGCCTTCTGATTGGCTAATGTCGACTTCTTGTCAGTAATTCCATTGGTCGGTCAGAGTTAGCAAAAGGTCGGTCTGACGTGACCCGTAATGGGATGTCCTCAGATCTTTGTTTAGCTGTGCAGCGAGAACTAAGATATGATTTTAATGAGATTGAAAAAACAACAACACATTTTCAAAGAATATTTGAAATTTTCAAATAAAGGGCCCATGTCAGAAAATGCCAAGAGTGAACCCTGAGCCCCGGTCATAGTTAATGTTAAATCATGGGAACCTGAGATGGGCTGCTTTACTGATTCATGACTTCTATGGTTGCATACCTGATGTTTGAGGCTGCCTCCATGATCTTATAGAAGGGACATTCTGCCTGGAGAGTGGAAGGTCGGGGGTTCGATCCCCAGCCACTTCATACCAATAGGCGTAAAAAAATTATGCTTATGGTTACCCTGTTTTGAACTTAGCATTAAAGGGGAAGTGTACACGCAAAAATCACTTTCTTTCTTTTTCTAAACAAAACGCAATTTTAGAATTAGTTAGTATCTGTGTTTGAAAATATACACTCATTTTTTTCACAGTGAAAGTAGGAAGCTCACAATAGTGTGAAAATGATATGCCGTTATGAGGCCTTCGTTTTTCGAGCTAAACAGGCCTGAGTTATCCCCCTTAGATTATGACGTAATTGGTGCCAATTCAACTGGGTCCCTGTCTATTCTGAACGCAAAAGATATCAAGTACAAGTTTTCGGTAAAACAACATGGCCTACGACACACTCCGGCGCAGTGGTGACTCAGCATAACACTATGCTGGCTGGCATCTGAGACGCTAGAATCACACACCTGTACCTACACCACGTGAAGCGGCTCTAACAAAGCATGATGACATCATAATGTTTATCAATTGGCACCAATGACGTCATATTGCAAGGGGCATAAGCCATGGTGTTTTTGTTATGGAAATAGAACACTTGGTAAATGTGAAAAATATAAATCGTTTTAATGCAAAACATATGTTAATTAATTGTGATATTTTTATATTTTTGTCTATGACACTTTTAGGTTAACACTTTTATTGTGGAAAAAGTACAAGGAAATTAGGTTCATTTCTGTGTGCACTTGCCCTTTAAGGGGATAAAACAAGGACTTGTCTGCTCAGAGTCAGTATACTGTGTCTGAGTTGGGGTATCCATGTCAAACTGCTAGCATTATAAAACCGGCATTAGTCCAGACTGGTATAAGCTGACACACACGTGCATGCTTGTCGCTATATAAGTGCAATAATCTTGAACACAATGTTTTAACCCCAATTCACCTCCTTACTTGACGGTTGAGTATTTTTTCAAGCAGTTGATGGGACACTTTCAGGCCTGGGTCCAATTTCAAAAGGCAGATTTAGTCCTATTGATGTTATAAATCTATGTTAAAGTATACACATTACGAAAGTGCTACCATCACTTTGTGGAACTGGTCTCAAGTGCTTGCCAATCTATATCAGCCAAACCACTAGAACAATTTAAGAGTTTCATACACAGGAAAATATGTATTGCCCTTCTTACATCAGATGAATCTGAGAAATATTAGAATTCAGAAGTTAATCTCAAGCTTCTTTCCCCCCAGTTCTGTTGTATCCACCTGACCTTCCCCCTGGGAGCATCAAGAGACGGGTGTCCCAGCCTGGACAGAAACTGCTCTCCACCCGCTTTGCTATCTCCCCCAAACCTCAACGCCAACCACTGGAGGTCAGACACAAAGACAAGATGAAACGATCCAAGAGCGGGCAACTCATGATCGACAGCCGTCATAGATACCCAAGAGGATCTAATGTGACCCAGTCTGTTTCCAAGGAGACTCTGTCAACTGGACGAGCTTTGATCAGTCGTAAGATTGATTGCTGGATGTCTTTTGAGGAATATGAGGAGCTCACTAGGTATGTTGGAAAATCATGATGACATCAGTGTTGAGGTTTCAAAAAGATATTCAGAAACTATTTCAATCTGCTTGGTCATTGTTCTTTGTATTATGTTATATAAGTATATATGTTCATTTTAGCCTCCTCTTGTCCAGTAATGGAGAAGGCTATTTAGAATAAGATCTCAAGATTTGAAGTCAGTTCATTTGTATCACCAATATGAAAATGATAAAGATTCATGTCATCAAAGCTATACAGAATCTCACCAAAGTGTCTTTCATATTATCAAATATATGAACACAAGTCAACTAAAGTAGCAATACTCTGAGGCTTATCGTGGGTTCTACACACTAGTAGCTGATCATGCTGATGCAAAGACATAACTCAAGGAAATTATGTTATTGTAAATGAAAGTTTTGTCCATAATTATGTTGCAAACATCTTTGTAAAATGTCCATATTAGTAATAATTCTTTATGTGTATTTTGTTCAGTGTTTGAAAAAGGCGTCTTGCTAAGCAAATTGCACAGCGACGTGCATGTTATTTCATGTGAACGTTATGCCATCAGTGCTTTATTAACATTGTCTTCCATTCTGAAGTACAATAAGTTTGTGTGCATAATTGTTTGGTTTGTTTCATGTATACTACTCAAAGAAGTTAAGGAGCACTCGATTCTTTCATATTGCCAGTTAATCTGTCCTGCCTTGACAGATTCACTATAGTAATATGAAAGAATCGGAGTCTTTTATTCCATTAACTTCCTTTGAGTAGTACATGACATCATCATGAACTCGGGGACAATGCCTGTTTTTGATGTCATACTTAAAATGGATCTCACAATAAGCATGACAAGAATTTTGATATTAAATAATCACACAAGGAAAAAAGCACCCTCCAAGCTCAGAACAATAGTGAGTTTGATCCTGTTCAACTGATTTCTTGTTCTTTTTGTACTATACATCAGGAAAGTTTGTGCAAGCAGGAAAGTACAGCGAAAACTGTGAGTGACATGGACGGGAGCAAAAAAACAACAGTTTGTATTATCCGTCAGTTCGTTATAAGCGTGTTTGTTATAAACATAGTTAACTGAATATTATATGTGCTCCATCTCTGTTTCAAGTCATTTGGCAGTGCAGTACAAGCAGCTCCATGGCAACGTGGACCACAATGCCTTCTGGCCTGGTCACCTCCTCAACAAGCTGCGTCTGTGTATGCCGACCTCCAACGATGGTTCCCAGGCTGTGTTCTACAACACAAAACAACCGAAGCGTTCCAACCCAGGATATCACAATGACCTCCAGACTTGGCCGGTTGGGCAAGAAGGTCATGTGATGTACGCCCCCTATGAGCGCCACTACAGGAACCCCTGAAAGGGTTCTGGATATTTGTTGTGTGTTGTACAGTGTGTAGAAATCTCCAGATTATGAGGCTGTGATATTTTTGCCAAAGATGAAGAAATTTTTGATTTTCTAAAGAAGTTGAATGTATTGTACATGATGAACCAACCATGATACAGACATTATATTGTGTTTTTTCGATAATTCATATTTCATATATATGTACCAGGTATTTTACATCTAAACTCAAATATAAAAGATGATTGTTTTCTACCCAAAACAAGAGAAATAAAGCAATTTTATTCTAGGTTTATTCTCTGTTATTCTCGAGTCCTGCGAGTCGAATCACATCAATAAATGCCTGGGTGCCGTTGTACAAAACAATCTAGTGCTACGCTGTCATATGTCTATGTTAAGATATGGAAGTTACGATCACCTGAGCGCAAAGATCGCTTTGTACAAAGCACCCTGTACTGTAAAATTATTAGCAAACATAATCATGATGATATACAAATGTTTAACATCCATGATCTTGCATCTTTACGATAAGATAAGAATGAGTGCGAGTGAGTTGGGTTTAACGCTGCTTTTAACATTATTCCAGTTATATCACGGCGTGTCAGCTTAATGTGGGAGGAAAGCCCGAAGTGATGCAGGTCTCATACGTAAACCACTTCGATGAAACCCACGAGCACGGGTATGGTGCTGACGAACCTAGAAACATAATCGGGGCAAACCGGGATTCGAACCCACAATCATAGGTTTCTCGCATGCCCCAGGGACGCAACTCTGCACAGCGAATCACGGCGCTTTAGACGACTGGGCCACCCGTGCCCCCAGATAAGAATGAAACGACCAGCTTTGTTACGTGAGACACAGTGACTGAAAGCTGATAGATAACTCGCTCAAACTGTGCACATTGCACATGTATAGCATGCCATCCACAGTGACACACCCTGGTAACCTGCATGTGTCATAAAACGCCACAACCACATGGTTCATTGATCGGGTATAACGAAGGCAAATGCCTCCAAAGTGTATATGACAGAAAAAATAAAACTGCTAGAATAGGCATGATTGAATTTGCCACACACATTTGTAATCTGAAAGTGTGATGTCGCGACTGATGGAACAATATGGGCAAACAGGTGGGTTATGATAAGGATGGGTAGAGAAAGACCTTAGGGTTAGTTGTGAGGTTGGGTATGGGTGAGCTATCTCTTTTAACATATTAATCCAATGTAATCTGAAAGTGTGATATCGCGACTGTTGGAACAATATGGGCAAATAGGTGGGTTATGATAAGGATGGGTAGAGAAAGACCTGAGGGCTAGTTGTGAGGTAGGTATGGGTGAGCTATCTCTTTTAACATATTAATCCAATGTAATTTGAGGAAACTCCATATTTGGGTTAACAATATTTTCTTTATTTTGTCCATAGTGAAGATTCAACAATAGCTATCTGGGATCCACCAGACCAACAACAGCAGCTAAAGAAAATAACAACACACAAACATACAGTGGGAGCTGAGAACATCCTCCATTGTTCAATGTATTTCCATTCTAATTCAATAAATACCTTAGGCTAAATTGTACAAAGCGATCTTAGCACTAAGATCATCTTTACTCCCATACTTTAACATGGATTTACATGGTTGTAAATTACAACAGTCTTAGCGCTAAGATTGCTTTGTACAAGTAGGCCCTGGACTTTCACCATGTTAAAATTATCAACCAATTCAAATTACACTAAACATTCGTTCGTGACTGAAAGAAGTGGCAATATAACCAGCACTTTTCTCCACTTTTGCATGCCATCTCAAATACAACTGGAACATCTTCTAGCAAAAGGAGTTCTTAATACTCAGCTAAAAGTTCATTTCTAACCGATTTCATAATCAATCCAATACACGAAGGACTTGTTTGGACGAGTTAACAATTTTGAATGTATATCTATACCAAACATAGATTTTTTATTGGTTATTGATTTTGCGAGAGAAATTCTGTGCTCAGTTAGTTTCAAGACCATTAAAAATAGGATATGTTTTCAGAAAGACAAGCTGGGTCAGTGCTTTGAAGGGCATCAATCGAGATTTGACATTTTACCAGCCGCTCAGGGGCAGTAGACACAAATGGTCATGTCCCATTAGTCACCAGTCGGACAAGTGGTTTTTGAAAAAAAAACTAGATTTTGGGAGAAAACAACTATAGCCCATCTAGATTTTCACTGACCCTTGAGGATCCGGGATAGAATAGGTCTTCAGCAACCCATGCTTGCCATAAAAGGCGACTATGCTTGTCGTAAGTGGCAACTAACAGGATCGGGTGGTCAGGCTCGCTGAGTTGGTTGATGCATGTCATCGATCCCAATTGTGTGGATCAATGCTCATGATGACAATCACTGGGTTGTCTGGTCCAGACTTGATTATTTACAGACTGCCGTCATATAGCTGGAATACTGTTGAGTTGGCATTAAACAACAAACCAACCAACTAGATTTTCACTGCTGGGGAGAGACTAGATACCTCCAAATGTAATGCATATTGTGTGTTCCACACATCAGGATAGGGCTGGGACAGGTAACTCGGGTCCTCAGGTCGGACGGGTACTGGGTAGGACCCGGGTACCCACAGGACTACCCAGACCCGGGGTTAGTCATGGGATATATTGTTTACTGACAAAAATGATCTAGAACTCAATGGTTACACTACAAGTCACAAATGTTTGCATTTCATTCTGACTATGAACACATTTCTTCTGACTTTTATGTTTGAATAAAGATAAGACTTCTGTCAACTTCAGTGTATGCATGACCAGATCGTTTTTATTAAGACGTGTACATCTAAATAATTTTTCCAGGGGTACGGTCAAACTTTTCCCAATCTGACATTTTGTACCTATCTCTTAATTGCGACCTACAGCAGATACCCGGGTAGGGTCAGGTAATAGGGGTGTGGGTACCCGGGTAGTAAATTTGGACTCGTCCCAGCCCTACATCAGGGTCATGCTATGAAAGTCATTGTGCTGGCTGCTGCATCATATTCCTTCCCCTGAACACCCTCGGTGTATGTCTGTCCACATAACAGCAATAGAACATCCTGTATCCATGGTAACAGGTTTTGTTGGGATGGCCATGTTTTCGTCTTCAGTCATTGTCACTAAGTTCTTCCTCATCACTGAAGTAGGAATCCTTCTTATACTTCTTCCTCTTGGGTTCTTCCTCAGCATCATCTAGGTAGGGAAAAGGATACTGACCGGACTCCTCGTTGTGTTTTTGATGCTGAAAAATCCAGTCCGCAATGTGAAAATATCATTCCAATTTGGTAAAGTACTACTAAAAAAAAGTCTTTCATAACAAATTAACCACAGTCATATGAAAAAATGGGGTGTTCTTAACTTCTTTTGAGTGGTATATTTGAATGAGTCAAGGACTTAGATTATGTGAATATTCAACCATCTTGTCTTCAATCAGACTTTAATTTGCAGCAGTTATTGGTATAGATTTTAGTTGTCAACTAACAAGGGGTGACATGTAAATGAAAACTAACAATCACAATAATGATTCTGGGGCAGAATATTTCCTCATGCTTGTCTTAAGATTTGTGATTTATGGCCGGGAGGCGACAAAATGGATCGAGTGGTCAGACTCGCTGATTTGGTTGATGCATATCATCCTATACGCTCATGATATCAATCACTGGATTGTCGGGTCCAGACTCTATTATTTACAGACCGCTGGAATATTGCTGTGTGCAATCAAAATGTTCTTACAGATACGTAACACAGACAATTCCCTGATTCCTTCATGTGTTTATGATCACATGGTGGAAAACAACAACAGTTTCTTATAACAAGACAAATTAAATCAAAACTCATGATCATATAACAAATGATCACCTTCAAACCTATCTTAATCAGCGAATGAAAATCAGAAGACTGTGCCTACCATCACACTGAACATCGAAATCCATCTGATATCATAAAAATTCAAATATTGCAACTTAACTTTTGTTTAACTTTATACAGAAATTTGAATTTGACTGTGACCTGTTATCACTGTAAGAAGCCTTACCTGGTAGCGGATAGCTGCCGATAGACTGTCTTCGGTTTGGTTGTCTCCCTTGTCAGAATCTTCTTCATCCCTGGAAAATAAATACGCTCTGTTGTGAAATCGCAGTAGCAACCTGTCACGTATTACAGGTCAAGGAACATTTTTGCCATCTTCAGAGTGCATCAGAAACATCACTCTTCCAAAGTACATTATTTTTTTAAGTGGCCCTACCTCAAGGCCTGTCTATGTCTCTAATGACCATGCATAACCGAGGACAGAAAAGTGCCAAAGTGGTTGATGATGTAGGTGAAAGTTGAGTTACCCGGCATTAATGCAGCTATTTGTATAAACATAATGGCAACAATGACATTCAACCCTAGTTTATCCAATTTTGGAGTCACATGTCAGCCTTCAAAATTCATGCTAGTCCGCAAGCCCGAGACTACTAAATTGTGCTGTGGGCAAGAAAAACCTGATGATGGCAGTGCTTCAATACTGCTACAAATTGGAACTGAATGAAACTGACAGAAATTGTAAACACAGTACAGTCTAACATTGTTGTGTCAAACACTGATGTGTCAAACTTTTGTCTCGAAGTAAAAGCTTGGTGTGTATTCCTTCTTTATTCATCATTTTTGGTTGTGTCAAATCTTGGACAACTCAAAGTATTTACATTGGTCCCTTCAACTTCGACACAACAGTGTTTGACTGTAAATGTTTTTGTCTTGTTCATGCAGGACTAGCAACAATTTCTGAGGACCCATGAAATGTTTACACCTAACCTCTGAATGAGTCTGAAAAAAATGAACTGAGTGTTGAACCAAAGACATTCCAACATACTCTTCATCTTCCTCGTTCTGTTTCTTCTTTTTCTTCTCCGGAGGCTCTCGGTCTCCCAGCAGGTTCTTTGGACATTGATAGCTCAAGTGACCTTCATCCTGTTAAACACAAACATCACACAAATTTGAATTGCACATTGATATATATAATTTCAGTTAGGCTTAAAAAAATAAAAGAACTGGTTCTCAGGCAATGACTTTTGAAAATATTGTGTGGGCGGCATTTTTTTTTTTTGCTTGTTCAAACTAGTATTTAGCCAAATAAACGGTTGGCATACCATCAACCTGGGAAAGGGCCTCCCTACATAAACAAGCATACAAACTGCTATTGCCTCCATGACCATAACATGTGATGCGCAGTAAAGCAGTGCTCATGTAAAGGGAAGTAACTGCTTGCTTTATTGGATCCAAACGAAACGAATGAAACATGCAGCAGACTTTATGATGATGCGGGCAGTGCCTGAGAACCAAGACTATTATTTTGTAAGCCTGATTTCGCAAAAGAGTTGTTGTCATGTGCACAGTGAGAAGGCTGTAGGCATATACTACTTTGGTAAAGTGCAAGGGAATAGTGCCACTGAACATGGCCATAATATCCTGACATTGGATCCTGGAGACTCTAAGGGCCACAACAGCTCCTCAGATCATTGAACTATGTTCCCCTCAACATATCACAGTAGGAAAAAAGAAAAGGTTGAAAAGAATACCAGTACCAAAAGACAAATAAAGTCATGACTCTTTTGTACAATAAAATATATTTGGACATAAGCAATAAGCAGACACTGCAAATAATGTTCAGCTTTCAACCTATCACATATAAAATTACATTTTGTCAAGGTGATGTTAGAAATTTAGAAGCTTAATGGAGATTGATGGAGGGATCTCCCCATGTTCAATGCTGGTAACATGTATCATATTTTTCAGACATTGCAAGTCTATAACAATGATTACAACAGTTAAGGGACGGTGGGCATGGTGCAGTAGCAGGGGTGATGGGTTGGCTTGATGACCCAGGTTCAGTTCCACACATGGTTTCAGTAAATGTGTGAAGCCAAACCTCCCCACCCCTATCACACCCCCTGCGTGAAATGGCTGAATTGTGTTAAGCAGCATGAAACATATTAGATTCACTACGATAGTTGAGATGCCAGACCATGACAACAAAAAGCAAAATTACACAACAACAAAAAATGACATAAGAACTCTGAAGATCTGGGGTAAAATAGGTCTTCAGCAACCTATGCTTGTTTTATAAGGCGATTATGCTTGTTGTAAGAGGCAACTAACAGGATCGGGTGGTCAGGCTCGCTGACTTGGTTGATGCATGTCATCGTATCCCAATTGTATAGATTGATTCTCATGATGTTAATCACTGGATTGTCTGGTCCAGACTCGATTATTTCAAACCGCTGTCATATAGCTGGAATATTGTTGAGTGCGGCATTAAACAACAAACAACAAAGAAGTTCTCCTCTCACCCCACATTCATAGCACCGTGATTTGTCTTTGTACGTTTTCTTCTTGATGAACTCAGTGGTTCTCCCATTGTCCTTCGCAATGCTGCATTTGATTGTCCTTCCAAACATCTGCAAAACAGGGACAAGAGAGAACATGTAACCATGGTAACACAAATACCATCCACCTTTTGGGGCAATTCATGTCAAAAAGAAAGAAATATATGTTTAGTCAAGTGTGTGCCACCGGGCACTCCAAAAGATATAAGAAGTGCTCTTTTGAATTTAAGTGAGGCAACCGGAAGGAAACTTTTGATCACACTTTGATCTCAGTGAATATTAATTCAACATGAACTAGATAATATTACATTGTGAAACACAAAACGTTTGTCTCCTTCCATTTCACTGCAATTGATAGCAGACCCATGAAAATGCGGGGTAGAATAGGTCTTCATCAATCCATGCTTGCCGTACAAGACGACTATGCTTGTCGTAAGAGGTCTAACAGGATCGGATGGTCAGGCTCGCTGACTTGGTGCATGTCAACGTATCCCAAGTGCGTGGATCGATGCTCATGATATCAATCACTGGATTGTCTGGTCCAGACTCGACCGCCGTCATATAGCTGGAATATTCTTCAGTGCAGCGTTATATAACAAACAAACAATTGATAGCACCTTTTTCAGTATACACCTGTGGACTACAGACTACCTGAGACTTGTTGAGAGAGCGCACAGCCTTGTGAGCGGAGTCCCGTTCGAGGTACAGCACAAAAGCCACGCCCTTACTCCGCCTTGTGTCTTTGTCCTTCATAACCGTCACTCTGGAACAAAATATCCCAGTCATGTGTCATCACTACAAACAACCACCATACGACCATGTTTACACTTGTACTTGGGACATCAATATAAAGAGTTAGCTGTGGTCCAAGGCAAGTTGAGGGCCGACATGAAGCCATAGGTCACTAAACCATTAACTAATAAACAAATATGCATGTATCCTAATCTGATTGGTTGAAACACATTGTTAATATCATTCATTTTGATAGTCACAAATGTGGCCAAAATTTGTTTTTGTTATAAATCATATATTATAAATTTTTAATATACATGTAACATAATCAGTTGGATTAGAATTTAATGAGGAGAAAATCACTGAAGATGCATGACCTACATGTTCAATGAGAATGCAGTGTTAAAAAGGAAGGGTCCATGAGGAATACTGAAATCATATTTGAATCTTGGGACTAGGGCTGGGATGAGTCCAAGTTTACTACCCGGGTGACTAACGGGTGGTCAGACTCGCTGACTTGGTTGATACATGTCATCGTAATCTTCCCCAAGCAAGAGAGTTAACTGACTATTAAAGTCCAGTTTCCATAGTTTCAGTTTGTTGCCGTCTCCATTGAAAATGTGGCAGGTTTTAATCATTACGATGGAAACTTTATGGGGATTGTGTCTTGTTTGGAGTTGTTTCTATTTAAAGTACAGTGTATGTACATAGTCCATACTTTGGTTGCTCTCTGCTGGTTTTCTTTGGAAAGCCTGGGTATGCATTAAGTTTTTCATATTAATACCTCATCAAAACCCAACATTTGGGTGGGATGGAAACGGGGCTTGAGCATCCCACTAGCCTGACCAGACAAGTTTGTGGTCAATAGTATGAGCAGCATGCTCCACAACCATTGTGACCACCCAATACCCATCAAAGTCTCTGTGGGGATTCTGGTTAAAAATATAGGTCGCCAGCAACCCATCCTGCGTTAAAACTCAAAGACCTCAGTGTCATTCTGGGATCAGGGAGCTGGGATCTATTCTGAACTCAAAAACACACGGCTTCCCAAGCGCGGGTATATAGTTTTCTTGAAAAGGAGAGTATTTTGTGATTTGTCAATCTGTGTTCAGTAGTAACTAGTGAAACAACATGTGTAGACTAGCTGTGATAAGGCTCAGCTGATTGCAATCATCCTAGGCAGAAGTTCAAAGCAGTGTGACTTCATATCTCGTTACGCATTAAGGAGAAAAAGAATTGCAAATTGTCAAACAAAGGTATATGACAGTCAGAACTGCATGAGGGTATGATAATGATTATCTCCTAAATGACAGGGGGAACTTAGTTAATAAAACATTAAGTCATAATTCACGGACTGGGTATGTTATATACTCTGATTCGGGTACAAGATTATGCCTCAATCGGAGAATCTCCCACATCATTAAACTTCAGCTGGTATTGTTATGTACATATACAATAGTCCAGGGCTGAAAAGTGAGTGAGTGAGTGAGTTAAAATTTTACATCGCATTGGCAATATTGCAGCCATATTGCGATGAAAACAAGTTAATTATTACTAAATACCTGTCGACAAAGGACAGTAAAACAGTAAGTCATGTATCACAGCTTAGGTATAAAACAAACCAGATCTAGTGCTGGAAAGGGTGAACTCGGATATTCGGGTCCTGAGTATAAACCGGATACACACAGGATGTCCCAGACCTGTGGTTAGTCACATGTTATATTGTTTAATAATAACAAACTCCATGGTTACACAAGTCGATAAATATTGGCATTTCTTTCTGACTATGCATGACTTCCTGGTGACTTTCATTCGTTGGAGTAAAGATAAAGCTTCTGTCAACTTCAATGTATGCGTGATCAGATTGTCTTAGGCGTGTATCTAAGAGGCTATTGCCGGGACTTCGGTAAAACATGAGACCTACATACAGCGGGTACCCTAGTAGGGTTGGGTACTACTGTCAGGTCCTACTGTAGTCATATCTTTTTGTGGATACATACTAGTTTAAGATACAAATCTGTGATAATCTAGTTCTTATACTATCCATTGTCAACAGGTTTTAAGTGATCTAAATGTATTTAATTATCAATGTACAATTTGTTCTGGTCTTGCCTGAAATACTGCTGTGTGACTTTTAACTCACTCACTCACTATTGTCATGACTTTCCCCAGACCTGCTGACAGTGTCGCTGATCGGATTGCTTACCATCGAAAAAAAACTACGTACAAAATGATTTATCGAGTTCTTTGTTGCTGATTTGGTCGCTTACCATCGAAAAAAAACCTACAAACAAAATGATTTATCGAATTCTTTGTCGCTGATTGTGTCGCTTACCATCGAAAATAACCTACGTACAAAATAATTTATCAAGTTCTTTCCAGATTTTTGTTTGCTTAGCGGTATACTGATATGAAATGCTGAATGAAATGCTTCAACAAACTTCACCACCATAAACCTAGTTCTCGCTCGCTATATCGTATTGTTCCTAGGAGGGCTGGGACGGGTAACTCGGGCACTTGGGTACTGAGAAAGATCTGAGAAATTACATGTATATATTGTTGGAAATGACAAAAAGTATCTAGACCTATATGGTTACACTACCAGTCACAAATGTTCGCATTTCTTTCTGTCTATGCACCAATTCCTTCTGACTCTTATTTATGTTTGAATAAAGATAAAACTTCTGTCACCTTCAGTGTATGCATGACCAGATCGTTTTATACGTGTATCTAAATACATTTTGCCAGGGATACGGTCAAACTATTCCCAATCGGACATTTTGTACCGATCTCTTGAGACCTATAGCCAGTACCCAGGTAGGGTCGGGGAATATTGGGGTATTGGTACCTGGGTAGTAAACTTGGACTCGTCCCAGCCCTAGTACCCAGGGTACATTCCGAATGTAAACCGATCTCGAGTGACTGTATCTATCTGTATCAGCCAGTGTCCGACTGTCCAAATTTACTTACTTGACCACTTTCCCATATTTGGCAAATATCTTGTGCATATCATTGTTAGTTAGTGAAAACGGTAAGTTGGACACATAAATGGTACTTCTGCTCGGGGCTAGTCCACCGCTCATGATGATCATCAATGCAACTCAGTCTGTTGACATAACGGGGGTCGCACATTCACATTTAGAGTTGTCTGCCGATAGTTCACTGTCGCGCCGCAAGTCGATGATCCCGCCAGCTGACTGTTGAAAACCAAATGTAGCAACTCCAGTGTGTTGTAGGCAGTAAAGATGAGATGATCTTGATATTCTGGACCAACCCCTGTATCCTGCTGTATCCTCCCTTGAAAATCGTATTTGGTACACAGATTAAACTTTTAAAGAAAATTATGGCTAACGTAAATTTTTTCCTTTATTTGTATTTTTTGGGGTCTGAAAAATAGCTGGGGGGGGGGGGGGGGGGGGGGGGGGGGGAGGCATTTGAATCCTTTACGTAGGGGTAGGGGGGCCATTTTTTAAATAACTGACGACTCATTTAGTATCAGATGTATGAACATATTGGCGATTCTCATAGATAGGCCCCTAAATATGCTCGAAATCGAGATCTTGGATATACTTGCATTCGAAGGAATTATTTCTTAAAAACCCCACCCATCTATACGACACTAATAGAAGAATTTCTTTGATAGGCATTTAGAAGTTGGAGTACTAAGTAAGGAAAAGAATTTATGGATGAACAACTTCTTTATTACAATAAGAGCGACGTTTCGGTGTAGGTTCTAACACCGTTATCAAGCAAGTGATCTACAGAGTGTGGTTGGCAAGTATATATACAAGTAGGAGGCAATGTTTATACAGTAGAGTAAATATTGTTATACTGGAGTAGAAAGTGAGTATGGTTTTACGCCGCTTTTAGCAATATTCCAGCAACATCACGGCGGGGGACACCAGAAATTGGCTTCACACATTGTACCCATGTCGAGATTCGAACCCGAGTCTTCGGCGTGACGAGCGAAGATTATGGCTGATTGGGTTTTTTGATGAGTTGATGGTACGCCAGGGGTATGTAATAGCCTTGGTCAGGGTTGATTGACGGCTGGAATCTTTTGATGTTGATGGCTTCTTGTAGTTTCCTGATCTTGAAGTCTTTGAGGTTGGTGGTAAGGGCTGTGACTCTCTCCCACTGAATGCTGTGGCTTGGGTTGTCATGGATGTGGTCTGACAGAGATGATTTAGAGTCATCTTTGGAGACTGAGCTTTGATGTTCTTTTATTCGGGTTTTGACGGGCCTAGATGTTTCTCCTATGTAAGCTTGTCCACAATTGCATGGAATGTGGTACACTGCTCCTGATGGTTCTAGCTTGTGGCTGGATGGTGGTTTCCCGTGGCTTTAATTGTGTTCTGAATGGTATGACTTCTCTTGAAACCTACAGCGCTAACTTCGAAAATATGACCAGCAAAATCTTTATAGAATATAATGGTTTTCAATTATTATGTCTTTCCTTTTTTCTTTTGGCCAAGCTAACCTACAGATTGGAGGATACATTTAAAATTGTCAACATATCAACAATATACTTCAAGCTAAAAGTAAAACTTCTAGCCAAATTCCCTTGTTTCGATTTTCGCAGTCAGGGCAATTCAATTCATATGCAAAAGGAAACAGTACCGCTGGAAGGGGAGCACGATTCGTGCCCATATGGGGATACGTAAATCGAAATGCCTTATCCGTGACTTACTTAAATCTGATATATATGTTATCAGTTAGGAAGTCCAGGATTTCACCGAATGTTTTGTCAGTAATCTCCAGGTGGCGGATTTATATGGAACTTTGGAATCCAGTACACAAGAGGAATGGACATGTCTTTAGGTTTTAGAGTCGAGTCAGAAGTTGATAACACTGATGCGTGGTTTTGGCAGACTTCTTTCTCAGTTAACCTACTGGCCTTATACTAGTATGTGGTAGTATTTCATACGTCACTCATTCCAAGTTCTTTCATGTGTCTTTAGTACAAATTTCACGTTATTCGTTTCATTTCAGAACGATGAGTGAGTATGGTTTTATGCCGCTTTTAGCAATATTCCAGCAATATCACGGCGGGGGAATCCAGGAATGGGCTTCACACATTGTACCCATGTCGGGAATCGAACCCGGGTCTTCGGCGTGACGAGCGAACGCTTTAACCACTAGGCTACCCGACCGCCCCCCAGAACCATGAGCATTAGGCAGTTGATGATTCATTGTTTGTTATTTTACAGTAAACTACGGTTATAACGAAGTCAAAGGGACCACTGATTTTAGTTCGTATTGCCGTAGTTTGTTATGTGCATATATACAGCATAACTACAGCAAATAGTCGGGACAAAAAAAGTAAGTTCGTTATACCCGTCAGTTCGTTATAAGCGTGTTCGTTACAAACGTAGTTTACTGTAACTTCAATGCACCCACGTCAAAAGGATATGTGGTGTCTGAATCATGTCTGAAGACGTGCAAATCTAAGTGGGAGTTGTTGGGATTATAAGCAAGCAGACCCTGTTTTACTGATTTCATTTTACATATGCTGATCCCCAAAGCAAAATCCAAACCCACCAAACCACCCCCACCCTCACCCCCACCACCAACCCCACCCCCAACCCCAACCCCAACCCCAACCCCTGAAAATCAAATAGTCGCTCCCAAATAGCAATTAAGAATGGCTTCCGCACCATTCGTAGGAGGATAAACATGGCTTCATAATCCGTGGGCAATTTGAAAGGAAATAATAATGCATAAATGAGTAAATGACAAGTCAAGCTACAGCTCCCACGACAGTCGGCCTATATAGTCAATCTAAAATTAACACAAAAATAGATGGTATGAATTAATGTCGCTTTCAGGCCGAAAAGCATTACGTTCTCGAGTCTTTGCTGTCGGGGCAAAATGACGTCAAACAAGTTGATGCTTTTGAACTACTTCCCTTTTGTACAGTGTTGAGTTAAATACGTTAAGGAAATGGTTATTTAACATGATATAATCCATCTGTTACAGCAGTCAATTGTGCCATTGTTTAACACAGCATTTCACATTATGCCATTACTACTCTGAATCCATTATCCCCTGGGGCGTGTCTGTAATCATATCCATAAATCCCCTGACCAGGGCATCATTGTCTCTCCGTCTGTCCATTGTTGTCCAATAGTGTATTATATATACTGAACCGCAAAAGAAACGTCACCATGGATAGATATAATGGGAAACCTTAATTGTCCAAACACTGTAAACATACTTTGAGACATATTAAAAAGATTAAACTTGGCAAAACTGATCATCAAGGTTAAAATTAAAGTGACAAATGTTCTTAAAGTGAAACACAACACTAGTCTCTGAGAAAATGGCATCACGGGTCAGTATCTCGTGTGTCCGCCATGTGCATTGATGACTGCCGTGCAATATCGATACATGGAATGGATGAGGCGGTTGATGAAGGCCATAGGCACTTCAGCCCACACTCTGAGAAACGCCTGACGCAGCTAGTTCAGCTGCAGTTGTCGGCCTTGGTCGGACGTTATTCAGCCGTATTTGAATCATGTCCTACATGTGCTCAATGGGACTGAGGGCAGGTCACTGCATGGTTCTGATGCCATTCTGCTGGAGGAAGTCTCTTAATGCTCTCGCAGTATGGGCACGGGCGTTATCATGCTGAAACTCGTGGTTGCGGCAACATGCCAAATGAGGTATGGCGTGTGGTCTCAAGACTTGATCAATGTACCGAGCTGGTGTGACACCATTGCCCCTCCCTGGCCCGATGTTCTGGAAGACCACAGGGCCGACCCTCTGTGAAAGACCAATTCCAACCCACAGCATGATGCTCGGACCACCCAACGAGTTTCTCTAAAACATACGAGCATCCGAATGACATTCTCCGCGGCGTCGCCAGACTCTCCCTCAGCCATCTGCTGTTGAAATACAGTTACGGCTCTCGTCTGAGAAGAGGACTCTTCTCCAGTGCTGGTGGCGCCAATGCTGGTGCTGTGTTGCCCACTGAAGACGGCCCCGGTGATGACGTGGTGTCAGAATGGTTCCTCTGTGTGGCCTGTGACAGTGGAGGTGTCTGCTCGTCAATCATCGTTTGTCCAGCTTGCAATCGTCCAATGGCCAAGGATTTCTTGTCAATCTTGGCATGTGGTAGCAATTCAAGAACGAATGAATGTTATCCGATCTGGGTGGATATTTATAGGGCAAGAAATGGGGGAGCGCATGTGCATTTCAATTTGCAGGGTTTACCATGGCCATTGCCGTGATGCGTTTGGGTGATCGGTTTTATTGTCATCTGCTTTGTTTTTTTATCATCAAATTTCATTTTTCCCAACAAGGTAATGTTAAATTTCAAAAACTTTGACAAAAAATCCCCAGATATTTAAATGACAATTTTTCATGCAATGTGACTCGGGGTGACGTTTCTTTTGCGGTTCAGTTTATATATGAAGGCCAATGACATGTGGAGTGTTTTGAGAAAAGTAATGAAAACCATTACCATATGCATGTCAATGAACATTTTTTATTCACCGATAAATTCCTAAACTTTAACACATTCTGACAGCAGACATATAACTGTTGCTATAAAAAATATTCAAAAAAGGAAATAAACTTTTTTAATTTGTGTAAGGGTGGAAAGGGCCAATGTCTGTATTTTGGCTCTTTTGACCCCAGGAATTTGCATGGGATTTAACATGTGAGATTGATAAACTACTACTAAAAGTATAAACGCTTACTACTGAAGTTCTTTAAATGATTTAAACGCATGCCAACTTCGTTGAAATAATTGAAACATAATAATAATGTTTCCAAACTTTCAAAATCTCTTGAACAACCAGTCTCAGTCACACACGGAAATGAGAGCTAAAAGGTCCAAAATCTAGCAAAGTGACTTTGGCCCTTTTGGTACCTGACTTTGGCCCTTTTACAGAATTTTAAGTAGCTATATTTAAAAAACTTGTCAATGAAAACATACAATATTTTTACTACAACTAGAAAAGAACTCATAGATGTTATTTATGCAATAAGATGCAATATATATACATCTGTACTGTTAGTCTTGTATTCCGACTGCACCTGTTTGTACAACCGCTAGTTGTAAACGCCTCCTTGCTGGACTTGACTTGTATTATTAGAGTTGGAATCACCGTTCGACTTATTTCTATTAGTAATTTGTACAGTA